TAGATCGCATCCAAGTGCCACTGCGATCTGGGGCAGAAGCAGAATGCAAGGCGCATTTCCAAAAAATGATTAGAAAACGCTAAATGTTTCAATCCTATACCATTTTTCACAAGGCGATCTAATATCTATAAAGTATAAGTTATTACCCATTTGTACATTCGTAGTGGCGTTTGAATGCGATGTGGCCTATACAATGACTTGCGGGGGCCAGCCGATGTACAAGTCAGTGTTTTTATCCTCCCAGACAAGTCTGGTACCAATTAACCGACCCCGGAGGGATGGAAGGCTTGGTTGGCCCGGGCGACTCACGACCCAGGATTTGATCCCCGGACCGCTCGCGTGGTAAGCGTGCCACTTGCCACTACACCACTTCCGCCCTCTATACAAGATGTACGATGAAAAATATCAATGTTACCTTGAAGTCCTTTCTGAATAGCAGACATTATGCAGAGAGAGCCCGCGGTTGATGCGAATTTGAAGGACTTCTTCCATAGAAATCGCTTTGTACGGTATTCGAGCCGGAGACATGACGATCAACTTCTGAAGTTCTACAAATTGCTCGGGGAAAAGGCAATTAAACCCCTTCACTAATTTGGTTATCTATCTTTGTGAATTAGTTGGGTGAGTTTTGGTTTCCCTGTATAAATACCTTGCAAAGAGGACCCTCCTTGGGGCAACTGGGTTCGGATGACAACGAAATTTGAAGGGGCTTTCTTCTTCGCCTACGCCTCCCCACCTTGGCAAAGGATAGACACGGCTCTAGAAGGCTTCAAAACCAATGGTAAAGTGAATGGGGTGGGGTCGAAAAAAGTTGCGGCTAGAGGCGGTTTCTCACTTACCACATTCTTTTCCACTGTGTATCGGTGTACTTTTTGCAGATCTTTTCCAGCACATAGCACGATTTCACAGCCGCGAAAATCATCGTAGAGTTGTTCTGTAAATGACAACCTGCAACAGCTGCATTCGTATTGATTAAAGGCACATTTCACAGAAATTCTGTTGGTAATGGAGCCCAGAACAAACGGTAAGTGCTTTCATAAATAGCCCACCAGAGAAAAAAATGCAAGACATTCCACCAAAAACTCTCAGAGCTACGTCCTGCTTTCAGAGACGAATCTACGCTCGTTTGAATCAGAAAACTGAATCCAAGCTCCGTCAAGATTTATGCGGATGATGCATCGAAGCAGAAGACAAGAGGGCAAATGAAGATAGAGAACATCAAATGACACCATCACCCGCATCCATTCGCGCGCGGAGTTGCTTCAGCGGTCCTGCTTCAAACACGCCCCCTAACCCGCAGCAATGGACAACCTAGCGCTCTCGACAGTGTCCAGAACCTGAGACGGAGATTACTATTTGTTAAGGTACCATTAGATCGCACATACCACGATTGTTGACATGCAATTTTTCTCCAAAGTAAAAATAGAAGTCACGCACGGCTTACTCTGAAAAGATAAAAATGACTCTGAAGAAGATAAAATGCCGCACAAATCTACAGGAAAAAAGGTATTCATTTCTTGGAGGTGGTCACCACCGTGTTAAGTGAGCAGAAAGGAGCCTCAGGCGAGAGAAAACATAGGAACGAGCGAGACCGCATGAAAAATCCCAAATCAGAGCAATATGATCAGATCAGATGGCCAAAACTCTTAGCGCCCGGTCAACGGCACTGATATAGGAGCTTCATTGATCTCACCGTGAAATATAGCACCAAGGGGAGCTTGTGAGAAGTCACATTTTCCAAAAGCAGACTTTATTCATTTTCCAGTTGGGAAAAGTGTAGACACGCCTCTCACCTTCTGGTGCAGTGTAGTCTAGGAACTTCACAGATCCTCCGAAGAGTCGAACTCCCAGATAGAAAGCGACGACTTCCCATCGATTTTCCGAGAAAACAAAAGCGGATACATTCTGAAACCAATAGAAGGAAGCCAAATATTATAGAGGGCAAAAAGAAAGTAGAGATCAACCTCAACAAAGAGACAGGAAAGGTAGTTGGCGACTGCATACGCTGCGTCATACAGTCTTATCGAAGGGAGCGTTTCGTCATAATGCTCTCCACTGACCTGAAACACCGTCACATATGGTAGAGTGGTTACGGGAAAGTCGCTGGGATGTGCTTACAAAGGCTATCCGTCCGGCTTTGGCATTGCTTTGAATGGTGGCTATCAAGTCGACGCCGTCGTCAAACATGGCCGTTGATGTGATGGAATGGTGAATCCCCTGCATTCTTTCAGGGCGTTGTGCTTATCTGAAGGAACATGTGTACTATGGTACATTCTGGGAACATCACATGGACTCAACGCTCTTCGCGAAGCGTACTCTAGTCATGACATTGCTGGCCCACTGTGGTTATCATTTTTCTTGTGGCATTTTCATTCCTTTTCGAAGATAAACATAAGCTCGGCGGAGAAAACGGGTGCCAATAGGTCTCACTCAGCTTACGCCACACTATGATGAGAGATAAGAACAGGATTGTCGAAACACACACCAGTCTAGCCGCGGTTGAAGTGAAAGCAATGGATGGTAACTAGTTCTGACGATATTGGTTTGCCCAGTGGGGTTCATGTCATCATATCCGCCGATGAGACCCACGGGTTCTTCCCAAGAGAGATTCTTTTAAGAAGGGGTGGTGCTTTCATTTGCATTTGCACTGATCATAAAAACAAGCGCTTATGGAATTTCACCCCCCCCCCTAAATCTTTTAGATCATTCATCCAATTGGCCAAATATTCCATAAAATGGGAAGAAAAAGGCCAACATGTAAACAAAATTGGGGCGGGGAAACAGGAAACAACGTTCGTATAGCATACAAGTGACATCACTAGTCCCAATCATGATGTTTGGCCCTTCAAATCCCCTCGCTCTCCACTCACAGTGGTGCGAGCTGAAGTGCCAAACTTCAAGACGGGCGATGCTCTGATATGTTTAAAGGAATTTTGTAGTTCCTACAATCCACATCGGTGGTCATGAAGTCATGGCAGGTCCCTTTTGAGAAACAGCTCTAACGTTCAACAACCATGAAACATTTGATTCATTCTTTTCCCCTTTTAACACCTCTCTTAAAGTGCCCCTGAGCATGCTCCGAAAGAACGAAGAATATCTATGTAGGAATATATTGTCTCCTAAATCTAGTCTTAAAAACATGTTTACGAACCCCTGTAAGTTGTTAACTTACGAGATCACAAAGAGGAGTAAGAATGCAGAACGGCTATAAAGGCAGCTTAGAGAGTTTAGTGAGCTGTGAACAATTCTATTAACAAATAGTACAAAATTGTGAGGCTCAAAAATCCAGACTGTCCAGCGCAAGGCTACACTTGCCGCGATCCTTAACCCTTTCCGGACCGCCTGACACACATGGTGTGTCAGGAACTTCAAGAGCTGATTTTTCCAAGAGTTTGGTTTTTCGATAAAATATTTTATGTTGTTACATACCTATGTAACAGACTCATGCCATATGTATGAAAAAACCTAGACTTTAGGTTTAATCTAGGTTCTAAAATAACCAAAGAGTAAATGGACTTCCACTTTGGGCTCAAAGAAAACAGTTGTAGTTCGCTTGAAAACACTTAAAAACGAAGAATTTGTGAAATATCCTGCTCGTCGTATCTGATTCTTATGGATCCAATCGTTTTGGGCACGTTCTACTCCCTTTTTCTCCATACCAACTTATTTTGAACAATTTTCGTCCCTTCCTCCCTTTTTATGGCCCTTTCCCTTTTTTTGCAAAACAGTTTTCTGTCAAATTAATCTTATATATTCTTCGAGACATGACAAAGACATAAACGAGACAAAATAATGGCTTTAGTGGGAATACAGATTAAATATATGATATTTATGCTTGCCGCGCAGCATGCGGCCGTGAGCGCAAAAAGTGCGCGGTCCGGAAAGGGTTAAACTAACTGTAATAACTTCCCAAAGGAAATAAACATTGAACGTAGAATATCCGAACATAAATGGTACGGTCACTTGAGCGAAAGGCAAGCTTATCTGTTTGACTATCGGACTAAAAGCAACAGGGATGTTAATCGCTGTCTGGAATTTGTATGAAATAGCGATGAAAAGTTTAAAGGAATACAGAAACTTTATACCATCGCTCTAAAAACTGGCTTCATTGTGAAATCGTCTGCTGGTGGACTTCAAGCGATTGGGTAACTGCAGAAAGCCCCCATTTCCTCTGAAAAACGACGTAGTATCTTCGTTTCTGGCAGCCGTATGCCCAATGTGAGTGTAGACCTCCTTTCTCACAGTAAGTGTCTAGTTAACAAAAGCTAAAAATTTAGAGTACAGTTAGAAAAGTTAGAAAAAACCTCCAAAATTTCTTACCCTTGGAATTTACCTAATAGAATACAGGCAGACGCCGCGAACCACGTCTAGGAGTGGCCCCTCGATCTATCACGGGCGTCCCTCGCACCCGTCTATTCCCGAACGGGACACGCCCCTCCACACGCTAGGCATGCGCCAGATGACTCATCCATTCAGCAATGAGGCATCAGCATTAAATAGAGACAGCACCGACGAGATTCGCATCAATGTGGAAATCCACGGGCGAGGAAAGGGGTCCCATTTCTCGGGTTCTGGGCTGTTCCTCATGGTTTTTTCTCCATCCCAGCCACCCACTGACCACCACTATCTTGGTGCTAATGGGCAGCTCTCTTAATAGTAAACTCCGGCCTTTAACGCATAATTAGAATTACAGTCATTCGAGAAACCCCGCAGACTGCTAACTTTGTGAAGGTTCTCACGGTGTCCTATGTCATCATTGTAAGAATAGGTTTTAAACCATAGCATGTCAGAATATTTATTTTCATTATTTTTGGCATCGATTTCATTTGAAATTTTCACGAATCACCTATGGCGTTTCGGTGCATACAAATACCAACATAGGAATACAACATGAAAAAATATCACAATCAACAAATAGCATAATATTTGGCGAAAAAGTGCTTTTTGCCCCCAGAAACCAATGAGAGGGAGTGTGTGTGCTCAGAGCGGAATGTATAGTTACTGGAGGCGTACAGTGGGTTGTATAGACAGATGCATCTGGTGTGTGAGAGTGTTTGACATCGGTGATGTCTGAGCAATCAGCTGATAGCGTACAATGGCTGTTAGGCCTGCCATGATATGGAATATGTATGGAAGAAGTAGTCGGTGCCAAAAACACAGCCACAACGGCACCCGTCGGACTGCTGTATCGTAATGCACAGAACTCTGATTCTAGACAGTCTACGAGCAGAGTGGCTGCGTTCCTGGCACGGACCGTTGCAGTTCGTCTATAATTTTGATTTGCATCGGTCCCGTAGCTCTCGTCGTAGAATCTTTCCGGCTGCCGACTTTGGTATCTCCTTGATGAATTCGACCCCGCCGCGGAGCTGCTTATAGGACGAGACTTTGTCTGGAAGGGTACAGATAAGAGCAAAATACGGTAAAACCTCCTAGATTCGTTAAACATACCTTTGATCCAAACCTTGACGTCCTCCTCGGTCAGCGAATCTGAGGCCCGCACGACAAACGCCTTGGGCAATTCGCCAGCCTTTTTGTTGGGCACCCCAATGACTGCCGCATCGCGAATCAGCGGATGAGCAAGCAGTAGATCTTCGAGCTCGGCTGGAGCGACCTGAAAGCGGAAAATGTGAGGCAGTACTCGTGATCCCAAGGAACAACTGGTGTGGTTCTCGACCACCACAAGTCAACAACAAGCGCTCGCAGGGAAACGCTCCACAGACCGTTGTAAAAGACGTGCCGAGCAAAAATGTGGTATCGGAAAGTGGCTAAAAATTTCCTACAACGTCACTCTGCAGTCGAAGAACGAGCACAAAGTAGTAAAGGAAGAGGAGAAAAAGAATGAGTGGGATGACATCCACTGACGTAAGCAGGGAGTTTCCGACAGGACCCTTGAACCTCAATTTGTGAGAGCCTGTTTCCCATCTTTCAAGTTTCTTGACAGAACGGCTCTTCCATGATCGCAGTTGTCCGAGCCGGCGGAAAGAGTACCACAGTTTCCCACGCTTTCATAGTGCTTTTTCGAAGGATATCAAGGGACCAGAGCAGTGTCTAGCATGCGTCGCGTAGTGCACGTTCAGAAGGGAGGGAGACCTTAAGTTCGCCTTGAAGCCGATTTTGAAGGGAGGATTTTTTGCAGTCAAAAACTTCATCGGACACTCCACACCACCTTTACCTCGCCGTAGATGGAGATGTTGTGCGTGCCGATCACCTTTTTCGGTGCATGGTAATTACCCGACCATATGACTTTGCGATTTCAGAAAATTGCTAGTAGTGAATTCAGCGATTCGCAAAGTCTGACACCGGCCGAAACGCAAGAGGAACGTGCAAAACAGAAAGAAATCTGTGATTTGAGAAGATATTAATCAGAAAATGTTGCAAGATGTGGAACAGCGCTTCCATAAAAATGTAGATTTGATTTCATTTCCAATATTTATTTCACAACATTGAGTGGAAATGATTTCTTGCGCTCCCACCATTCTCATTTACAAGCTAGCTAGGAGAGGAAAATTTAACACATTGACGACAGCGGGGGATATACAGGGGGGGGGGCCAAAAAAAAGACATTTTGCCTATGTCGGACTTCGGCCCTTTTTTCTTCGCAGAGATTGCTGTCGTTGACGGGAGTTCCTCAGCAGAGTATTCCCTAAGTGTCCCTCTATAAGTGACGCAGGCCCTCCTTCACTGCCCTCACCGTCTTCAGAATATGACGTCATCTGTCACCGTCGTCAGGCTCAAGGAGGTCTACCGTAAGAGCTTCAGCCTGAAGCTCTTACGCAATTTCGTGAATCGATTTAATGTTGGATAGTTTTCTAGAGGCGTTAGCTCCCACTATACAAATCCCCTCGAAACGAGCTTTCCAGTAAAGGTCGTTATGGTACAGAATCCTTCGAAGACCCCATTGAGCTCGACCAGTGCACCATGTTTCCAGGGCAAATTCTTCTGTTGCCGTCCACGTGGGTGGCCAACATGAAGATTTTCTTATAGAATGAAATGTGCTCTTCAATATTAAGTTGGGAACACTCGGTCTCAATTGAGCAAAGTGTGCTTAAATCCATCTGAAAGTGGAAGCAAAATGTCTTGGTACAGCCGGAAAGGCCGATATGAGAGTTTGCGATTTCAGAAAATTGCTAGTAGTGAATTCAGCGATCGCAAAGTCTGACAGCGGCAGAAACGCAAGAGGAACGTGCAAAACAGAAAAGAAATCTGTGATTTGAGAAGATATTAATCAGAAAATGTTGCAAGATGTGGAACAGCGCTCCATAAAAATGTAGATTTGATTTT